TACTCGCACAGACACAGAATTGTTACTCGCACAGACACAGAATTGTTACTCGCACAGACACAGAATTGTTACTGAGGGCCACAGAAAATTGTTACTTAGGGCACAGAATTGTTACTCACTCGCACAGAATTGTTACAGAATTGTTTGTTACTCGCACAGACACAGAAATTGTTACTGAGGGCCACAGAATTGTTACTTAGGGCCACAGAATTGTTACTCGCACAGACACAGAATTGTTACTCAGGGCAGAGAACTTACTTAGGGACACAAATTGTTACTGAACGCTAGTTACTCAGGCCACAGAATTGTACTCAGGGACAGACAGAATTGTTACTCAGGGAGGGCAGACAGAATTGTTACTGAGTGCCAGAGAATTGTTACTCAGGGACAGACAGAATTGTTACTGAGTGCCAGAGAATTGTTACTCAGGGACAGACAGAATTGTTACTGAGTGCCAGAGAATTGTTACTCGCACAGACAGAAGAATTGTTACTCGCACAGACACAGAATTGTTACTCTCGCACAGACACAGAATTGTTACTCGCACAGACACAGAATTGTTACTCTCAGCACAGACACAGAATTGTTACTGAGGGCCACAGAACTTGTTACTTAGGGCACAGAATGTTACTCGCACAGACAGACAGAATTGTTACTCAGGGCACAGAATTGTTACTTAGGGCCACAGAAAATGTTACTTAGGGCCACAGAATTGTTACTCGCACAGACACAGAATTGTTACTCGTTACTTGTTACTCAGGGACAGACAGAATTGTTACTGAGGCCAGAGAATTGTTACTCAGGGACAGACAGAATTGTTACTGAGTGCCAGAGAATTGTTTTACTCAGGGACAGACACAGAATTGTTACTGAGTGCCAGAGAATTGTTACTCAGGGACAGACAGAATTGTTACTGAGTGCCAGAGAATTGTTACTCAGGGACAGACAGAAATTGTTACTGAGTGCCAGAGAATTGTTACTCAGGGACAGACAGAATTGTTACTGAGTGCCAGAGAATTGTTACTCAGGGACAGACAGAATTGTTACTGAGTGCCAGAGAATTGTTACTCAGGGACAGAGAAGAATTGTTACTCAGAGTGCCAGAGAATTGTTACTCGCACAGACACAGAATTGTTACTCGCACAGACACAGAAATTGTTACTCGCAGCACAGACACAGAATTGTTACTCGCACAGAAATTGTTACACAGACAGAATTGTTACTGTTACTCACAGACACAGAATTGTTACTGAGGGCCACAGAATTGTTACTGAGGGCCACAGAATTGTTACTTAGGGCCACAGACACTCGCACAGACAGACATTGTTACTCGCACACAGACACAGAACTGTTACTGAGGGCCACAGAACTGTTACTTAGGGCCACAGAATTGTTACTCGCACAGACACAGAATTGTTACTCAGGGACACAGAATTGTTACTCAGGGACACCTAATCGTTGAATTAAAGAGTATGTCAGACAACATGCAGAGGAGTGGCAGAGGAGGCAATGTTTTAGGAGCGAGCAGACGTGGCAGCAGAGGAAGGGGTCGAGGCAGCAGTATTCGCAGCCAGAGGCCAGTGCTCCCGGTGTCATCCAGCGGTCGTGTCTCCACCGACAACCCTGCCGTCATTGATTGGTTGGCTCGGTCGTCTTCCTCTTCCCAGGTCACCTCTGACACCTACAGCCAACGGTCGGTGGGTACGTCAGACACAACCGTTAGTTGGCATGGCCCGGGAGCAAGCCCACTGAAATCACGTGTCCTCTACCTGCCCCTGTCCTTTGCTGTTCCCTCACCAAGCGAAGTATCGCATGCTGTGGGCTCAGCCCCACTGTACAGTGAGGAAGAGCTAACAGAGGGCGGTTCAGGAACGGGGGGAGACATCGGCCTTTTCAGCAGCCAGGCGAAAGAAGTACTGGCGAGGAGAGTGGCTCTGTAGCCGGTCTAGAGACAGGTCTGTCTCCTGACCCAGACGCAGCCGAGGGGGCTAGTAGTGAGGCGGAGACCGTACTTGATGATGAGGAGGTTGATCGCACTTGGCTGCCTCGTCGTCATCAGGCAATTTCTTCCGCATCATCAGGAGAAGAGGGTGCCAGCTTGGCAGCGAGCGAAACAGTCGGTGGGTTGCCCAGGAGGCAGCAGGGTCGCATCAGTGTCAGTGGAGCCAAACGTCCACGGAGTAGAGCACCAGCTCCACTGCAGCCTACCACCACGGCCAGTAGTGGTGCCGGTGCGCACGGAGGAAGTAGCAGTCAGCCAGTGAGGAGTAGCGGGGGCAAAGTTTCCTACTCGGTGGTGTGGCAATTTTTCGTCAAGCCGCCCGAGGAAGTAAACGTAGCCGTATGTCGACTATGTGCCAGAAATGCAAGCGTGGCCAGGGGGCCCATGTTGGGACTACAGCGTTGCGTCAGCATATGCAGCGTCACCATTCGTGGCCTGGGAAAACCGTGATAAAGATACGGCGGTTCTGCCTGCCCCAGCCCCCGCTCCATCACCCGCTCCGTTACTTGCTCCGTCACCCGACGTCGTCAATCACCCTCTATCAGCCAGTCAAGGCTCCAACACCTCTGCTGAGGGGAGTTGTCGCTCGTTGGCATCTTCCGCTCGTTCAGATGCTCCTTCTCCTGCTACTCCTCTTCTTCTCGGATTCCGTCAACAGTCTTTCTTGGAATCCGTATCCAAGAGACAACAGTTTGCGAGCACGCACCCGACGGTGCAAAAGCTGAACGTCCTCCTGTCCAAGTTGCTGGTGCTGCAGTCCCTCCCTTTCCAACTGGTGGACTCAGCACCTTTCCGAGAAATGATGGCTTGTGCCGCGCCGCGGTGGAGAGTGCCAAGCCGTCATTCTTTGCCCAAAAGGCAGTGCCAGCCCTGCATTCACATGTAGAAGAGATGGTGGGCCAGTCTTTGAGCATGTCGGTCTCTGCCAAAGTGCACGGCAGCGCCGACGTGTGGAGCTGTAACTACGGTCAGGGACAGTACATGTCATTTACGGCCCACTGGGTGAACGTGGTGCCGGCACAGCCGCACCAGCAACTTGGACAGGTCACGACGCTTTTGCCTCCACGTTTGCACGTCCTTGGTCCAGCAAGCATGTCCGCCTCTACCACCTCTTTTTTTTTCCGCCGTGTCCTCAGCCGCCACCCCCGTGCCAAGTCCCATTACCCGACCGGCATATCACATGTGCAGGGCGCAACGGTGTCACGCTGTGCTGCACCTGGTATGCCTTGGCGAACGTAGTCACACAGGGGAGGAACTGCTGAGTGTAATGAACAGAGAAATCGACAGATGGCTGTCTCCGCGCAAACTGAAAATCGGAACCATGTTGACCGACAACGGAAAGAACATGGTGTCTGCTCTGCGTCAAGGAAGGTTGTGCCATGCGCCATGCATGGCTCACGTGTTCAATCTGGTTGTCAAGCGGTTCCTAAAATCCACCATCCCACTGCAAGACATCCTTAAAATGTCACGTAAACTGTGCATGCATTTCAGCCATTCCTACACCGCAAAAGAACACCCTCATTGAGCTGCAGCGGCAGAACGGAATTCCACAGCATCGCCTGATCTGCGACGTTGCAACAAGGTGGAATTCAACCCTACACATGTTAGACCGCCTTTACGAGCAGCGAAAGGCCATCACCGATTTCCTGATGTTACAAGCGGATAAAGGTACTCCCCTGTGTAACTTAGATGTCAGCCATTGGCAGCTCATGCGTGACACCTGCCGCTTGCTCAGGCCCCTTTGAGGAGGCCACGCTATTCGTGAGTCGGCAGGACTATGGGATGAACGACGTCATTCCTCTGTTGCACGTCCTGGAACAAATGCTGTTACAATGGCTGGTCAGGGTGCGGTAGACGTGGCGCACAGATCTCAACGCCACATGACCCCTGTGGGGGCAGGACAGGAAGAAGAGGAGGAGGTAGAGGAGGACATTTGTGTGCTCAGGAATTATTGAGTGAAATGGGTGGTTTTTCCACTCAGCGGACAGGAGTGGAGGAGCAGGAGCATCTGGTAGAGGAGGAGGAGGAGGAGACAGAGGACCCAGACGCACCGTGGCAGTATGCTGTGGAGATGGAGGCAGGGAGTCCCTCGCATTCCTTGGCACAAATGGCCCATAGCATGCTCGGTTGCTTGCGTAGCGACAGCCGAATAATAACCATCAGACAGAGGGATGACTTTTGGCTGTCCACCTTGTTGGACCCTCGCTACCGGTCCAAAATGGTGGCCTTTTTCACACCTGCTGAGAGGGAGGCCAAAATTACGTACTATAAAAACCACCTATGTAGTCAGTTGGTCTCTGCCTTTGTGCGCCAACGTCCATCCTCAGACACTGTGGGCCCTGTGCGCTCGCGTTCCGCTGGCATGGCAGCAGGGGAGGGGGGGTGGGGTGGTAGGAGCAGTGGCAGCTCCACCAGCAGCGGCTGCCTCAGTCTGCAGTCGATGATGAGTAGCTTTCTTCACCAGCGCAGTGAGGAAACTACTAACCAGCCGCAGCAGCAGCAGCAGCAGCAGCATCAGGTGGACCTGGAGCAGGAGCTCAAACAACAGGCTTGGGCCTACTTGGACAGCACCCTGCCAACCGAGGTAGACAATCCTTGACTACTACTGGCAACGAAACTTGACCTTTGGCCCCAACTAGCTGAATTTGCCCTTGAAAGGCTGTCATGCCCGGCCAGTAGCGTGGCATCGGAGCGCGTGTTTAGTGCGGCAGGAGGTATTGTAACTCCGCGGAGGACACGACTGTCCACCCAAAGTGTGGGAGAGACTCACGTTTGTGAAAATGAATCAGGCGTGGATTAGTCTGGATTTCAAACCACCAGTTCCTGACACAACTGACTAAATCCGCCATGAATCATGCCTCAAACATGTGCCACTTTCAGGTCTCCTCACACACTGCTGGTGTGTTGAATTTTTTGACATAGGGTGCTGGCAGATTACGGGCCTCCTATAGCTGCTGCCAGGCCCCTAATCTGCCATAGGCCCCTATATACCGCCTCCTCATGCTGCTGCCAGGTCCAGAGTCTCTCATGGGTCCCTGTACGGCCTCCCATTGCTGCTGTCTCCATCGCCACACTCTGCCATGTGCCACTTTCAGGTCTCCTCACACACTGCTGGTGTGTTGAATTTTTTGACATAGGGTGCTGGCAGATTACGGGCCTCCTATAGCTGCTGCCAGGCCCCTAATCTGCCATGGGCCCCCCTATACCGCCTCCTCATGCTGCTGCCAGGTCCACAGTCTCTCATGGGTCCCTGTACGGCCTCCCATTGCTGCTGTCTCCATCGCCACACTCTGCATGTGCCACTTTCAGGTCTCCTCACACTGCTGGTGTGTTACAATTTTTTGTCATAGGGTGCTGGCAGATTACGGGCCTCCCATAGCTGCTGCCAGGCCCCTAATCTGCCATGGGCCCCTATATACCGCCTCCTCATGCTGCTGCCAGTCCAGAGTCTCTCATGGGTCCCTGTACGGCCTCCCATTGCTGCTGTCATCGCCACACTGCCATGTGCCACTTTCAGGTCTCCTCACACTGCTGGTGTGTTCAAATTTTTTGACATAGGGTGCTGGCAGATTACGGGCCTCCCATAGCTGCTGCCAGGCCCCTAATCTGCCATGGGCCCCTATACCCGCCTCCTCATGCTGCTGCCAGGTCCACAGTCTCTCATGGGTCCCTGTACGGCCTCCCATTGCTGCTGTCTCCATCGCCACACTCTGCCATGTGCCACTTTCAGGTCTCCTCACACACTGCTGGTGTGTTCAATTTTTTGACATAGGGTGCTGGCAGATTACGGGCCTCACATAGCTGCTGCCAGGCCCCTAATCTGCCATGGGCCCCTATACCGCCTCCTCATGCGCCTCCTCCTCATGCCACTGCCAGGCCTCCAGTCTCTCATGCCACTGTGTGCCACTTTCAGGTCTCCTCACACTGCTGGTGTGTTCAATTTTTTGACATAGGGTGCTGGCAGATTACGGGCCTCCCATAGCTGCTGCCCAGGCCCCTAATCTGCCATGGCCCCCTATATACCGCCTCCTCATGCTGCTGCCAGGTCCAGAGTCTCTCATGGGTCCCTGTACGGCCTCCCATTGCTGCTGTCTCCATCGCCACACTCTGCCATGTGCACTTTCAGGTCTCCTCACACTGCTGGTGTGTTGAATTTTTTGACATAGGGTGCTGGCAGATTACGGGCCTCCCATAGCTGCTGCCAGGCCCCTAATCTGCCATGGGCCCCTAATATACCGCCTCCTCATGCTGCTGCCAAGTCCAGAGTCTCTCATGGGTCCCTGTACGGCCTCCCATTGCTGCTCATCTCCATCGCCACACTTTGCCATGTGCCACTTTCAGGTCTCTCACACTGCTGGTGTGTTGAATTTTTTGACATAGGGTGCTGGCAGATAACGGGCCTCCTATAGGCTGCCAGGCCCCTAATCTGCCATGGGCCCCTATATACCGCCTCCTCATGCTCCTGCCAGGTCCAGAGTCTCTCATGGGTCCCTGTACGGCCTCCCATTGCTGCTGTCTCCATCGCCACACTCTGCCATGTGCCACTTTCAGGTCTCCTCACACTGCTGGTTGTGTTGAATTTTTTGACATAGGGTGCTGGCAGATAACGGGCCTCCTATAGCTGCTGCCAGGCCCCTAATCTGCCATGGGCCCCTATATACCGCCTCCTCATGCTGCTGCTAGGTCCAGAGTCTCTCTAGCTGCTGCCAGGCCCCTAATCTGCCATGGGCCCCTCAAGGGATACCGCCTCCTCCTGCTGCTGCTGGTCCAGGGTCCACAGTCTCTCATGGGTCCTGTACGGCCTCCCATTGCTGCTATCTCCATCGCCACACTCTGCCATGTGCCACTTTCAGGTCTCCTCACACTGCTGGTGTGTTGAATTTTTTGACATAGGGTTGCTGGCAGATTACGGGCCTCCATTGGTGCTGCCAGGCACCAAAATCGGCCATGGGCCCCCGTTACCCCTGGTCCCTCATGCCTGCAACAAGGATAATTCAACCCTACATAGTGTAGACCTGCCCTGTACGAACAGCTAAAGGCCAATCCCAGTTGCTCCTGACTGTTAAATGGTGCGGATAAAAGAGTACTCCCTGTGTACACTCCTAGCGGTTTTCCATTTTCCTCATGCGTGGACACCTGCGTGCTGGCAGATTTGAGGAGGCCACTCTATTCGTGAGTCGCCAGGCCCCATGGATGAATGAGGCCAATCGGCCCCCAGTAACCCCACAGCCTGGTCACGCTGCTGCTGGTCCACATGTGACCTGGGTCCCAGTACCGCCACCCTTTGCTCCCCAATCCTGCCATGTGCCACTTTGAGGCCTCCATCACCTCCTAGCGTTTTCCTTTTTGTCCAATAGGTTGCTGGCGATTAGGGCCTCCCTAGGGCCCAGGGCCCCAAATTGCCAGGGGCCCCGGACCGCCTCCCCTGTGCTGCCAGTCCCAGTTCCCCTGCCCTGTGCCACTTTGTCTCCTCACACTGCGGTTGGTTTAATTTTTTTCATAGGGTGCTGCGAAAGGCCCCCTTTATGCGCCCGGCCCTTTTCGCCCTGGGCCCCCTTTTCCCCTCCTTTAGCTCCCCCCTTGGTCCAAGTTCCTGGGTCCCTGTACGGGCCTCCCATTTTGCCCCCCCCACCTGCCATGTGCCACTTTATCTCCTCACACCTGGTTTTAATTTTTGCAAGGGGCTGCAAAATTTTCGGCCTCCATATGCGCCAGGCCCCCCTTTGGGCCCTGGGCCCCTTACCCCC